CTTTTATGACTTGTGGACTTCAACTCCCAGAATTCCTCAGCCAGCATGCCTGGTTTACCTGATACATAGTGGCCGCAGTAGGGAACAGGACAGGATCAATCTACTGAATTAGGGGCAGCACCATAGCAATCACAAATTTGCCAAATTTCAGTCCCAGTTAGGTCTGAAAAAGAATATTTATCTAACATTTATTTTTAAAATCTCACTAGATAGGAAAGCAGAGTTTTGTTTCCTTTTTGAAGACTCTACCATAAACAGTAATAGCAATAGCACTTAGGTTTATATACCGCTCCATAGTGCTTTGCAGCACTTCTCTAAGCGATTTGCTATGTCAGCCTTTTGCTCTCAACAATCTGGGTCCTCATTTTACTGATCTTGGAAGGATGAAAGGCTGACTCAACCTTGAGCCCTGTGAGGATCAAAATCCAGGTAGAGAAGTAGCTTGCAATACTGCATTCCAACAACTATGTCACCACAACTTTGCTTTGCCAAAAATTAAATGTCAAAATCAATATGATTTGGAGGATGAATGTATTTTAAAATTCTATTTCTTGATGTGTATTTTTGATTTGTTCATAAAAATTAGTACAGCTTTTCTTAAACTCACAACCCCCCATTAAGATTTCAAGCTCTAATTTTTTATATATTTATCGATTTGTAATTCGCTAGAACTCCTGACAGTTTACAATATACAAAAAAAAGAATTAATATCTATAAATAACTAACAATCTCCTAGCCAAAACAAAGCAAAACCAGCAAAAGATGGAAACACAAATGATAACAGCTTAGTTCAGAAAAACTCTTTGGAAGAGCTGGATCTTCAACATCTTCCTAAATGAACATGCCAAAGGGAGCAGGTCTTGGGAACAGCATCTAGGAAACTGTTCCAGTTGTTGTCAGAGAAAAGTAGCTCCTTCCTGTTTCATACTCTTTCATGGAAGTAGGAGACAATCTGTAGTTTCTTTCAGATCATTTGAGGCAATCAGATTGATTCCAGATGAAGAATGTACTGTAGATATCTGAATCTGGAGATATCTAGGTTCCAAGCTACAGAAGACTCTATAAGACAAAACCATCATTTTGAATTACTCCTGGAAGCCTACTGAAAGATAGTGCAAGGCATGTAACCCGTATATAATATATTCTAGGTATATTATAGCTAAGGTATATATTCTAGGTATATTATAGCTAAGAAATTGTGCATTGTGAACCAGCTGCAGCTTCTGAATAGACTTCAAAGGCAGCCCTATGTAGAGTTTTTGCAAAGGTTCAGCCAGCCAATGATGAGGGGGTGAGTTACTGTGGCTATATTCTCCTGTTCCAGATAGGAACACAACTGGTGTTGAGCAAAAGGCCCTTGGTCAAGACCTCTGTTAATCAAATTAGCAGTAGATATGAGTTCAGGAGAATCTCTTGGACCTTTAGGGTGGTGTTTCCCTATCTATACATAATAACAAAAGAATGCAGAGTTAGTAAAACATGATTTGAGCCCCGGAAAAGAGGAGAATGACAAATTTAACCTAACTCCACTTTAATTTTCTAGGTTATTAGAAGGGAGAAGGGAGGAAAAATTCTGACAGGCTTCTAAGATTCTGTTACTGTAGTTTACATCACAAAATAGAATTTCAATATTTTTCAAGGAATTTATTTCCTGACCCAGCTTACATTTGGGGGCTGACAATATACTGCTGCCTTTTTATACACTGCATACTACATGCCACATAGGAAGTAAACCACATGGAAATCAATGAGACTTATGTCAAAGGGCATAAGTCCTTTATGTAGAACTCTATTATTCAGATGCAATCCTATCAGCTTTACCCAGGAATAGTTCTAATTAAAGATGATGTTTTTAAATAAAACCATATGATACCTCTTTCAGTATTGGAATATATAGAAGTAGGTATTCTTAACAAAGAGTTACTATTTGTTTAATCTGGAGGGGGGTTAGGGCTTTGAAGGGGAAAGAGTGTTTCAAGGAAAAATTGGTGACTTCTTAAAGCAGCTGAGTCTTTTGACAGGATTATGCACCTGTCCTTTACATCTGTTGCATTATCCCAAGAATTATACATTCGGTTTAAGGAGTTGGCAACGCATGCTACCTATATGCAAGAACAGACTTTTCCCACTTTGAATTGTATTGTATGGCTTTCTGTGTATTTGTCTGTTTTCTTTTGTCTGCTGAGAAATGTTTTAGTATTGAACACATCCATTGGTTAGTTTCTTATATGTTTCCCAACTCTGCTTTTATCTTTCCTTCAACTCCAACTGATGAGGTCCTATACAGTACTTTTGATTTTCACAAGAATTTTAAAGGAAAACATTTTCCTAATATTGAAGTAACTGGAGGATGATTTAAGAATAGGCCAGAAGGGGGAAAAAAGAATCCCCATGTATATAAATGAATTGTGGACCAGGTGACAATTACATTTATGGAATGTAGATCAACCTATACCAGTGGTTCTCAACCTTTCTAATGCTGCGACCCCGTAATACAGTTCCCCATGTTGTGGTGACCCCCAACCACTTATACATCACCGGGTGCCAGGGGCATGGCCAAAGAAAAGGGGGAAAATGGTGGACAGCCTTGTTTGGCGACCCCCATGAAATGGTCGTTCGACCCCAAATGGGGTCCCGACCCACAGGTTGAGAACCACTGACCTATACCCTTGAAGGGATTTTATTGTGCTTATGATTTTAGTATGTTTAAGTTTGACACCAACAGCTATTTTATATATAGTAACCATTTTATATTGATACTTGTAGTGTTATCATGTAATCATTGTTTTGTTTTTTTTGTAATTATTATTTTGTACCCAATTGCCTGAGCAGATGCTTTATGTATATTGGAAAAGTAAAAGTGTCATGTTAAACATACAGGAGATTGCTTACATGAAAAGAGCAAGGTAAGGGGAGGGGGAAAAGGAGTTACAGATGGAGCCTGGGTTGCTGTGTATGAGTCATCTTGGAATTGTTTTTTAGTGCTATCTTGCTCCTGGTACAAAGACCTGATCTTTTTATTCTGAAAAGGTATAAAAGGTGGAAGATATCTTTCCTGGTTATTGCCTTCATCTGTCTACCAGCCACAAAGAGAGATGGGGTCACCCAACTCTATTTTGATCAAAATAAAAGTTGTTTGCTTGCTGAAACCTCGGCTCAGGAGTTTCTTTTGGCTCTTTTAAATTCCTAAGTAACGCTGGAAAAATTGTGAGGTTACTAAGTGGATACACCCTTGTGAAATTTCTACTGATGATTGCATAACAGTTTCTAGAATTCATCATGGCATGGCCAGTGTAGAAAATTCTGGTCCACCTATCTGGAGAGTCACATGCTGGAGAAAATTTGTATAATGTAGATATTTGTTCAATGTATAACTGACTGCCTTATATAATTACATTCTAAGTTCTATGGATCTGCTGCAGAATAATAGTAATAAGGGTGCCAGTGTTGGTATGACAATTCTTAGATATTGCCATAACTTAGTGTTTATCTTGAAAAATTAAGAAAAATTGAAGTGCCTAGTACTTAAATGGGAGATTGCAAAAATATTGAAGTCTAGACACTAGGCTAGGAAATCTAAAGAGAGAAAAAAATCTAGAACACTTATTGTCAAGAAAACTTAATATGTCCATTAAGTTACTGGGAATTAAATTTAAGTCAGTAGGTATTACTCTTTATGTCTGCTCAGAAGTAAGTTTCCCTGAGTTTAATTAAACCTAGTTCTATGTAAGAATGTATAGCATTGATTTAAGTGTGGGTGTTACTCTATTTCAGATTACTGCTTGTATAAGCCTACTTATACAAGCAGTGGAACTTTAAACTGAATATATATTATAGGACTATATTTGGACAGCTTTAATTTATACCTCACATTCTCTCCCATTCCACATTACTATTTGTAATATGGTGAATAAAACATCTCACTTTCTGGAATGGAGTAATTAATTTTAAAATATTATTACTAATATTAACATTCACATCAAGTTCACATGTTTTTGAAGGCCGTGAGTCATTTACATGTTTAATTCAGTGTTGAAAAATATACCTAGATCCATCTGAAAAGCCAATAATAAGCAGGGAGAAAAAAAGAAATGCTAGTAAACATTTAAAAAGGCCACATTCATGTCTTGTGGAAAAGGACTTTATTTATAGAAGAATAAAATCTTGATATGGATTAATTTTAAAAAATGTATACCACTGAATCTTTCTTCATGGGTACATAAAAACTAGCAACTGAAAGAATCAGACATGGGATTGTACTATTAAAAAAGTATTTTGCTCTAGAAATACAAGAGATTCTTTTTAAGGAATAGCCATACTGTTCTGCACCATGTGATGTCCTGATAAGTGTGATCTTTCCAAAAAGGTGCCTTGTCAAAAGAACTGGCTTGCTGTAGTTTTCATTTTGCCAATGAGGAAAGAAAACCATCCCCAGTATTTGTTCTTATGTTAAAGAAGCCAGAACGGTTTTCTCTTTTTATACAGACAAGTGTTAGGCGAGACAACTAGAAGGAACTGCAGGCAATGCAAATGGCAAACAGCTTTTGACAACAAAGAATCCTGAGAATCACAAAATGCTGCCTAAAGCAAAATGTAGGAACTTTACAAAGAATAGCCAGCAGGCTTGTGCCTCTGAGTTGAAGAACAATAAGGAGTTAAGAGTCAGCAGCAGCTCTACCAGAAGCTTGATTTAAAGAGAGGAAAGAATTGATATCCTCTCTCTCCCCCTTCCTTTGCCTGGATGGTCTGGTCTCTCTGATAGATCACATGGGCTTTCTTATACTCAATTGCAAGAGCACCAGCAGCTGCTGCTTCTGATTTAGGAAACTACATCGCGGCTGTTTAAGTGTGTCAATGCCTTATAGTCCCCAGCTCCAATTTAAAACAGAAGGCTCCTACAATGTATCTCTGAATAAGCTGATTGGATCCTGGGATATCATCTTTTTCACCCCTATGCTCCAGGATCTAACTATGTCTATTTGTTGTTGCCTTTTTTTCAGGGATTATGGATCCTCAAAAAGAAAATCAGGTAGGAGAGCCTATTCTTTTTACACATAAATTACTTGTTTTTGAATGGGAAGTGGAATATATGCAAGCTTTTTTTTTAAAAAAAAAAAATGCTGTTTGAAATGCACTTACTGCAATGGGGAAAGGAGTTACTAAAATTTGTAGTTAAATAGATATTTCCTATTTCATATATAAATCTCCCTATTTCCATCTTATTGAACTGAGATTGTATAAAAGCATATTTTATTCTTAAGCAAATTCATCAAATAATTGCTTGATATTTCATTGTAAATCAGCATATGGTAGAATCTGTTTGAAAGCAAGATAATCTAATCTTCTCTCCCAAAGCTCATATATCCTGGCCCAACCCTATAAACTGAAGTAGTTTGCTGTGGATTTATTACTGAATCAGACAAGTTCACTAGTTACTATCAGATATGTTTTTCTGAGCAGAACTGGGCCAAGATATCCTTTGTGGAGGCAATGGGTTTTGAAGTAGTCACTAAAGCACTGCAGAAGATAATTAATAATATGCAATCAAATAATTTTTGGCAAACAAACCAAAACCACTCCCTAACTGTTTATCTTCTTATAGGGATAACCATAAGAATGGTTATTTGTTATTCTACTGTGAATATGTTGAAATATATTGATTGGAATAACATCCTACTCTGCTTTAAGGACTGAATTTGATTTGCTTGAGGAATCCATGGAGAAGCCAAGAATGTTTCATATATCTTTACATACTTTAGAAAACCAACATGATTGGAAGAAATAATTATGTACTTGTAAAAAGGATGAGAAGATAGCTAAGCAATTGAGTATTGCCGTTACAACCTTATAGAGAGTTTGACCTTCTTATAGGGAGTGATCATCCAACACTTGAGGAGGCCATATTGAATTATTGGGATTTATTTCTGAATAATATGCACAGTCCACTTGTAAATATAGTTATTTCTGACACCTCTGCCAAGATTATGTGTGAAGTAAACTCTCCTTTGGAATTTTCCTTCTAAATAGCTTCATGGCAGACAGCAAATTACAGATGCAGCTTAACATAGAAATGCAATCATAGAGAAATGTGTAGTAATAGATTTTCTCTCGTAGGCTGCATTCACACATGTATCTGAGTAATAATGTAATTTGGTTTTGAATTATGCTGGGTGCACTCACAAGAAAAGAGAAATCTAAACTGGAGATTACATATAAATTATTGCTTATATTTTGGGACCAGGGCTTGCTATAATTTATATACACGTCATATAACTCATAGTTTTGGTTACTTGCATTTAGTATGTTGGGACAACCCAGTTACCTATTTTCTGGAATTCATTTGATTTTCTCTTGAGCAGTGATCAACAATGCATAATTATGGGTGGTTTTGTCAGTGGGGAATGATTGTTTTCTGAGTTCTCTTAACCTCAAGGATGCTAGGAAATTGGCTTCCCCCAACCGCAGTGGAGCAAATAAATCAGCAATATAATCATAAGCTACTAACTAATGTTGAAAGCTATTTTTTATTATTTATTGCCCCTCCTATGCCATAGTGAAAGAAATGGGCATAGTAGAGAAATAGCTAGAGAAGCCCATTTGGGAGCCACTCTATCACTTTGTCTCAGAAAGAGGCAGAGAATGTAATCCTAAGAAACAGTTTGTACAATATGACTGCTTGAGGAAGCATTGTTTTAGTTTCTAAGACTCCAGGGACTGTTCTTTTTTCTAACTAATCTGATTAGATTTACATCTCAAGAGCAAAACATGCATCCTTAGGTCCAGTTAAGTATATCATTTGAATATGAAAGGGCAGTAAATCATTTTATCTGCTGTGTTTTTATAACTTTCAAGATTAATTCAATTATGGGTCAGTTAATCTAGTTTTCTACTTTGATTAGCCCACTCATACATGAGTCATAGAAGCTAACTTTACCTAACATACTAAGTTAAAATATGGGTTAAACCACACTATTTATAGTTCACCATGTAGTGTAAACCTAACTATTCAAATGGGATTTTTTATTTTCCTAGAAATCTTGAAGCAGCCATAAAGATGCTTATGCCAAGACCAAAAACAGTCCTTAACCCTGAAATGCATGGCATAAGGTGATTTATTCAGGACACAGTGACAAGAGCATCTTCATGAGAGATACAGTCTTGTGCTTCCTTTTTAAAAAAGTCTCCAAACACTCTGTGTCATATTCAGAATTCAACTACCACATGATGACTATCACCTAACTTTCTATAAAAACAAAGTCCATCCAAATTCTTTTTTTCCATGAGGGATCATATTATGGTTTTAATTGAATTGTATGAATTATGGTTTGTAGACTACATTTTATGTTTTAGTATGGTATATAAACATAGCAAATTATGACTTATCCAATAAGCTACGCTTAAGCCATAAAATGTGTTCATACAATATATTAAAGTTTGGCAATAACTATGGGACAATAGCTTGTATATTGGTGGCCAAAGACAAACAGATGACACAACAGACCGTAGTCAGCCATGTTTTGCTGGTTTTCCTACAATTTGCAGTGGATGGCTAGCCAACACTTAAAAAAAAGACATTGAGTTTTATTTTAGAAAAAAACAAATGGTGGTCTACAGAGCCAAATATATCATTGGGAGATGGAAATAGATGACATTTTAAAGCCACAACAGCCTATTTTTGGTAGCTTACTCTCTTATCTTTCCAGAAATGGAAAAGGAGAACTAACTATAAGTTAATAATCTGTCTTGTCCAAATTCAATTTAAGATTTAAACAAAAACCTTAGCATTATAAACTAATGTTTCAAACTAGTTAATGTTCCTTTCTTACTGGTGAAGAAACCCTAAGTGAAACAATTCAGAGGTTCTGATGCAGATCTACTTCTTGTAAAGTATTGTCTGACATCACACATTGTGATTTATCATTTGTTTTAGCCATTTTCAAAAATTCTAGCCAATGGGACTCAATTGCAAGTCACCAGGGTAGATAAAGTTATTGGGAGTTTTCATGGATGATCCAGCAATAGGAAATTGATATAATAGAGTTTAATGTAATATTTTCATATGATGTTTTACATATTTTTATTTTATTTTTAAATAAAATAAGAGCTGCTATGTAATTTTTGGGTCATAGTGATGAAAGAAGATGAATGTTTTCAGGTACAACAGACTATCTCTCTTTCATTGTATAGCTATGTTGAAATTCACATTGAGAAGCATTCAAAATTGCCAAATTCTTCATTTTTTAAAAAATATTTTATTTTTTATTTTTCCAAACTCTCCCCCATATATATACCGTGATATTTATCAGATGTTAACATACATTCTTTTTACATTCATATATAAGATACTTTTAATAAAATGAAATAAATACATACACATGACTTTTGGTGTTGCTCGCCCATTTCCCCTTTCACTGTATCCACACTCCTTCTTCTCTACCTTCTTTCTCCCTTTCTTCTCTTCCCTACTTCCCTCTTCTTCCTCTCCTCTTCCTTCACCATTCTCCTCCCCTTTTTCCCCACTTCTCCTATTCTCCTCCAACCTTCCTACTTCCTTCTCCCCTTCTTCACTCTTTTCTCTCTCCTCTCCTTTCTTCCCTCTCATCCCTCTTCAGATACAATCCAGGGGTAATGTCTGAGCAACTCCTCTCTCCAAATTTCCCTATCTGTATTATATACAATAAGATTAATTTTCTCTTACATTAATACTTCTGTTTATCTAACCTTCTCGGTATATACTTCTATAAATATTTATACAACATCCAGTTATTCAATACTGTGTCGCCTGGGTCTCCCTCCTTATCTGTTCCTTCTTCTTCCATCTAAATTGGTGTTAACTGTCTTTTAACCGTATTCTCTTTTCAGCCAATCATAAAAAGTTCCCCAGATTTCATAGTAGTCTGATTCTGTCTTATCTTTAATTGTCATTGTTAGTCTATTCATTTTTGCACATTCCAGTATTTTCTCAATCACCTCTCCCTCGGGGGGGGGGGGGTTCAGTGCTTTCCAGTTTTGTGCAAACACAATCCTGGCTGCCGTAATTATATGAATAATTAAATATGTTTTCTCTTTATTGTATTTCCCTGGTAGAATACCCAACAGGAATATTTCTGGTCTTAGTTCTATACGTTGTTGTATCATCTTTTCTATCCATGTTCTAATTATATTCTAATAAGTTTTAGCTTCTACACACGTCCACTACATATGGTAGAAGGAACCTGATATCTGATGACATTTCCAACATTTCATACACCTGTCCTTAAACATTTTAGCTAATCTTTCTGGAGACGTGCCATCTGTAAAACATTTTGTACATATTTTCTTTATACGCAGTCACCATTGTCAATTTATAGTTTCTTTCCCATAGTTGCTGCCATCTATCTAATTCAATTGTGTATCCAAAATTCCTTGTCCATTTTATCATTGTCTCTTTCACTTGTTCCTTCTCTAACTCCATATGTAGTAGATAACTGTACATTTTTTAATCCATTTTTCTTCCGTTCCTGTGAGTATTTCATCTAACTCTGTTGTCCCCAAATTTACACCATATATTTTAACATCTTTTTCATATCTAGATTGTATTTGCGTTCTCATGTACCAATCCATCTTTATTCCTTGTTCCTCTAATTGTTATTTGGTTTTCAACTCCCCCATATCTGTTAGTAAGTCTTTATATCTTATAATGTTTCCCATGTTAAACATATTGGGGTGTATTAGCGCCTCCCTAGTTGAGAGCCAATTTGGAATCTTCAAATAATGCTTTCTCTTTACTTTCTCCCAGACCACAAATAAAGAATTCCTTATATGGTGTCTCTGGAAATAGCTATGTATTCTGTTTTTTCCATACCGTATGAAAGCATGCCATCCCAACTGTAAATTATGTCCCTCTAATGTCAATAATCTTGTATTCCTCAATAAGATCCATTCTCTCATCCATGATAATGCTGCAGCCTGATAGCACAATTCCCAATTAGGTAGACCAAACCCACCTCTCAATCTTATATCTGTAACATTTTTAGATTAATCCTTGCC